GAGGCGTCGCAGGGGACTGCCGTCTGGGACTGCTGCTTCGTGATGGGATTGGCCAACAGGCTCTCAGGGCACACTAGGGGATTCTTGTTTTTCTGTTTTTTTGGGATGTCTTATTGCTGGATGGTCGTGAGGTCAAGAAGCCCGGAGAGTCGTCGAGGCCGTGTGCATTGGGCTGATGCTGGAAGGGCGTCCACCACTCGTGCTTGGATGCCGGATGGCTGGGGTCGTTCCAGCTGGGGCTGTGGGCCGATGTGGAAAAGGCGTGTGCTTGTTTGGCGAGTGGTGTGGGGATGCGCTGCAGGCCAGCCACTGCTCACCTGGCTTGGATTAGTTTCATAGCGTTGGCAGTTTTGGCGATGGCAGAACCCGCTATGTTAGCTTCTTTTAACTGGCATGCATGTGTAGGATTGAGTTGGCAGGTGCAGTGACATTCTTTTGGGAACCGAGCCGAGTGTGTGGCCCGGAGAGTAAGAAACCCCCCCGAATGCCTGGAACGTCATATAATGTGTGCTGCCTCTGGAAGGCTGGAAACCTGGGGGATTCATTGATGGTGGTTCGTGTGCGCCCCTGGGTGAGGGGTTGAAATGCTGCCGTTTGTTGCGAACACCGCGGGGGGGCCTGCTTTACTCTTGGGATTTGTATCCTGCAGATGACATGAAACAATATACGATCTGTAATCTGTAACAATCTACGAGAGCGTTCTTTCAGCGGAGATTTGCCTTCGTCCCCTGGCGAAGTGGCCAAGAGCGCACTTTCCAGTCGCTGGGATCGAATCGCAGCTGCCCTGTGGAGCAGCAAAGTGCCACAAGAAGGCGTGTGGCGGCTGGCTTCTCATCCGTGCAACTTCCTGAAGCAGGCAATTTCAGTTCGTGGACTGGTGCCGCTCTTGAGGGGAAAGCAGCCGAAGTCTTGTTGCCGCGTGCCTGGTGCGTTGGTTGGCGCCACGCTGGCCAGGGCGCGCCATACGTTTCAGCGCTTCACCTCCACGATGTCCCCTATCTTTGCCTTCGAACACACTTCAACCACCTGTGTACAGGATGTCCAGCACCTGCTTGAGGGGAGCGGTCTTGCACACAGGGATGATGGCGATCTGAGCGAAACAGCGTGTCGATACCAGAATTCTGCAGGCAAACTTGCGTATACCCGCATGCGTGCTAATGGCGGTCTCGTCAACCAGATCAAGCCACCCGTCGCAGGGCGATAAAGCAGCGATCTGGGGCGCGCACACTATCGCAAGAACCCAGTTGTCACATTTTTCTCCGCCACTGGCCCCCAGCCCACGGCTCGTACTTTGCATACACAGCAATGTCCCCTGCACGAAGGGTGTCCAAACTCTCGCGGACGTGGTCCTTTTGAGCTCCACGAAGTTAGCAAAGTCTGCGCGATTGCATCCCTATCACTCGTCACAGGTTGCTCCGCAGTCACAGCGATTCTGAGCGCATCACATATAATTATTCTGCGGTTCTGGGACCCGCCCTCTTTTGGATTAGCGAGCGTACCAACACATTACCACCCCCTTGCACGCAATCGGTTAAAAAACTCAGCTTGCCTCTCTCAAAGGGTATAAATTAATAATCGCTACACAATATGTGCAACAATGTTACATGGCAAATAACTGTCTATACGCAATATGCCTCAATTGATTGATAGCCATCCCCCAATCACTGCAACCGAAGCTTCAAATTCTGCACACAGACTCGAGCAACATAGACAGCACTTTGCCAGCGCCACCCACTTGGCGAACATGGAAAAGAGCCACACACACACCTTTGCTCACTTGTGGGTGCCCCTTGTGTGAACTGTTTCGTTTGAAGATCAAATCTGAGGTTTGTCAAATACTCACCATTCCCGGGTACGAAATTAATGCAGGGGGTCATGGGGGCTGACGGCTACATCCCTGCCTTTTATGCACAAATTCATGACGGTGCCAGTGAAGGGGGTCATCAAGGTCATGAGTGCCACGAAGGGTACAAAGGCTTCAGCAAAGTAGGACAGTAAATTGTAAACAGAAAAATGGCCTCCGTGGCCTTCATGAATATCATGACCCTCGTGACCGTTGTGGCTTGCATGTGCGGAAATGAAGGGTATCGGACATTCGTGACAATCCCATTCCCACCCGAACTTTGTTTGCGTTATGCATTAAATTTCAATGAACAGACCGTGGTCACTGCTTTGCTCGGGCAAAACGGTAAGCTGAAGCTGGCTTATTACGTAAAAACGAATGGCAACGACAAATCCCACCCCCCACCTGGTCGATCTTCTGCCTGCAAGTCGGGCACTCGTGCGGCGGCCGCACGAACAGTTTGTTGGCGCACCGCCGGCAGAACCCCCCGTGGCCGCACTCCAGGAACACGCAGGTCTGGTCGTCGTCGTAGCAGATGATGCAGCAGCCCTCCGACTCGCTTCCTCCTTCGGAGGGCCGGGCCCCGGGGCCCGCCCCGCACCGCGAGATCGACGCCTCCGAGCAGCCGATGTCGACGACGACGTCGCGGCTGGCGTCGCCCAGCGGGGGCGGCACGGCAGAGGAGTCGATGTGGAAGGCGTCGGGGGAGGGGGGGCGGTGGGCGGAGATACTGCTCGCGCCGTACGCCACCGTGAACACCATCTCGTTCTCGGCGTCCTCTGGCCGGGCGCGGAGGGGCGTCAGAGCGGGAGCGACGGGGTTGTCATTTTTGTTTGTGCGGAAAATGATAGCTGTATTAATGCTACTGTCATTGCCATTGCTTTAACTTAATTTCACTCCTACTCTTACTCATATTCACACTACTACATTACTGTTAGTCTCACTCTTACTCTCACTTTTGCTTTTTACTATCGCTGTGGCTATTACTATTACCGTTCAGTCAATGATGCAGCGCAATTGAGACATGATCCACTTGTAAATCACCCAACTTGAGCCACGCTCTTCAGATCCTTCTAAACCGCATTGATGATTGGCTGCGGCTTGGTTTTGCCTTCCATCATCTCCTCCACCATATTATTGATCTCCTCATCTGCCAAGTTGCGTCTTTTCTTTCGTCAGCCTCGGAAAGCAGCACTGCCACAAACATGTGGATGGCTCGCGCAGCCAACACGAATGCTCAATCGACCCCCAATAGAGACGTGGCACCTTACGGGTCACTTGTCGAATTCGGCTTGCGCCCTTTGAATTTGGGCCAGGCTTTGGCCGCGTGGGATGAATCCAGCCCCGGTGGGATCCTGGCAGCCGGGTCTTTCTCTAAAAGGATTGCCGAAGCTGTATGATTTCTGTGACTCTAAGGCATCAGATGATTTGAAAATTCCAGAACCAATTCAGAATTGTTCGTGGCTTGAAGCACCTGTATTCGGGCGGCTTTATGGGGCGTTGCTTTATGCAACCATTTTCTTCCTTGGTGTGTGTGTGTGTGTGTGCGGAGATCTAAGGAGATAAAAAACGTTCTCAATCATCCGAGTTGTCCACCCGGACCTCTCACGCTCACCAATAGCTAATCTTGTTTCACACCCAGGGATTTCAAATATGGGCTAGTGGCACTCAATACACATCGAAATGAAGTGCTTTCCACAGTTTACTCTGCCAACTCTGCATACTTTGCAATGTACAAGTCGTTCATGGGATGCTCTTCATATCAGCCACAGTTGATCCAATTTTTCTTCCCCTCTTGAGAGTTTCAAGTATACCATCCACAACACTTGCGCAGCATGTGCAGCAGCTTGAGACAAGTTGATCAGCACGTACTGTGGAAGCAATAGCGTTGTATCTGAGGAAATTTGACCATTTCGCACAAAATTTCCCTTGCATAAACGCCGCTGAAATTTTCACCATTTACATTTCAGCTGCATGTTTCATTTATAGTGTTGCTATTGTCATAAGAGTTGTTAACTTACAAATTCATACTGTCCAATGGCTCCATCATCGCATAGAAATGCAAAAGCAGCACCATGGAACACTGTGAAAATGCCTGCGATCTCATTATAACGTCCACGCTTGCCGCGCAGTTGCGCTGTCGAGATGGCTTCATCAGCAAAACACGCAGCAGCATTTTGGAGAGAGCAGTTGGTGTCAGCGACGCTATGACATGGTCATCAAACCTCACAAAATTGGTCTCAGGCCCTTGCATTGCTTGGCGAAACTGTTTCGTCCACTCTGCAGGAAAGGGTACAGTTCCTCGGAGATTCATACTTGCAATCCGCCATGCATCCCAGTACATTCTCACAACCATTTCAATTTATATATAAATTGTATCGAAAATGTATATACACACTTCTGGTGACAACAGTTATCATATAAAATGTCCAGTCATCGTACTGAAATATGTTGCAATGTTGACTCTCATGTGCAGGACGTCCACCTACCCGTCAGGTCGTCCACGCGCCTCTGCGCGGCCTCCACGGTCTCGTGCAGCTGCCGCGCGACCGCCTCATTGTGGGTCCACACCATTCCGGCCCGCTGCAGCTGCTCGCGCAGGCGCTCCTTCTGCCTCAGCCCATACACCAGCACCATGGAGTTGGCCCACATCAGGGCCCATGACGCGATGTTTGGTGCCAGGACCTGGTCGCGTCCAGAAGCCCGTGCATCAGCGATGCTGCACGGGAAACGGTTAAAACATTTTGAGCGAAAGAGTTAAGAACGTTCTAAATTGCCTTCGAAAGGAAAAGCGGTGGGCTTTCTATAAAGGGATTGTACACATGCAAGGGCCTTTCACTATGAACGGCTTCAAAAGCGGTACCAAAGGCGGTGTGCTTAATCGAGTTTGATGAGCCAGGTTTGGTTCTTTGCAAGTTTGGTGGCAGTCTGCGGCGCTCCTATCGCGAGGAATGGGAGCGCACGCACCGCGCGAACGTGCAAAGATGTGGATTGCATGCGCCCTGCGACGTTCAAGGTGTGCTGCCGCCGGGTTTCGTATTCACACCGCAAGCACTTTCATATTTGCGGCTATTTACACGTAAAAATAGTTATTACGTTTCTATGCGTAAAACGCGGTAAATGTGCTTTTCATTGGTCCCTGTGTACTTCAAGAGACTACATAACAGACTCAGGGAGTGCGGGAGCGGCAGGCAGGCGCGCTGAATTTTGCATAGGACGATCTCTTGATCGTCGACGTCACTGCCATTACTGGGGAGATGTGCGCTGTGTCGCTGGCGGTGGCGAGGCTTGTCGGCGAATCGCACGTATGCGCAAATACGGCCGTAAGAATGGCCGTTTCTCTATTTGCGCGTAAAAGCGTAAACGCAAAAATGGAGCTGTAAACGCAAATGACATGTCAAGCCTAGCTGCGGCGATGCCACGGAGGAAAGCGCAAACGCGCAATCATGTGCATTGCTCGGTTGCCTTCAGCCTCCGCTGGCAAGGCTTGTTGCGATGTTAATACCTTTGCCATGTTTGCCGAACAGCGAAATATTTAAGCTCTGACTAAGTACAGCTTTGTTGCATATTCGAGAAGATGGGAGGAACGGATCTGCGCGAAGCTTGCTGGATGCCATCAAAGCCAACGCCCGAGTAACCTGGGTTGCGCTGACGGTCGTGTCGCCGTCCAGCCACTCCACGAGCCGCAGATAGCTGGCGAACTGCGGAGCCACGCTGAGCAAAAGGCCAAGGAAGCCCAACGGGAGGATAAGCTCGCGAGGCCGGTTCCAGGCCCGGGCAAACAACAGAAGGGCGAGGACCTGGAGGCAAGGGAGGCAAAATCAAATCAATCGGCTATTTAGTTGTACTTCAGTACATAATGCACATTAAACTGCGCTGTTGTCCCGCGCGGGCGCAGGTTGAGCCACCAGTGTCGCCGCGCTTAGCCGAAGCGTCCCGGAATAAGATGACCATGAAGCTACGCGTGTTGGAGCGCGTTAAAGAAATGTGGGAGAAGCCGGGATTGCTTTGAGATATTTCCTATGGCGGAAGTCCAACTCCGCCTTTAACTTCCACACAACTGGGGCGATCAGCCGATTTAATTCTCATAGAGTTTGGGGCCAGTAAGTGGCAAATATTTATCGTGCGTTGTAGTGCACTATTTCCAGAAATGTGCCATAGTCTCTACACGATCATGAATTGCGCAAAATGGGCAGTCTTGTGCAAGTAGTGCAAAACACACATTGCTGTGAAGTAATTGGCATTTGGTGGTGTGTATATGTGCCTCCTTTGTCTGAGATGTTGTATTTTTAAATTTTGCAGATTAGAAATTTGTACAATGTATACCTCGTAGATAGATTTGATTTCAAATTAACATGTATTCTCAGAAATCGGTTATGACGGGGCAAAGTTCGAAATTAAAACGTACAGCAATATGTTATTTGATAATTTGCCACATATGGCATATGTATCGCATAGCACTTCCTACCATCAGAGTAAGCAGAAATAGCGCACTGAACCACATCCAGGGTATCAAGAACACGAGCTTCCACGAGTAGGCGCTCTCGTGATCCAGTTTGAAGGCGACAAAAAGCAGGAACAAGAACTGGAGGTCGCGTGCCCCTCCAAATACCCTCTCCTGCCGCGCCTTGCCGCACGACAGTGTCGTCGTCAAAATCCAACCGACCCTGGGAAGCAGGCGTACAATCTGAACGAATGAACAACGTGAACGCGTGAGTGAATGCACAGCTGGCGCACAACTGACGCAAGGTACACACTCACCACTTCACACATCTTTGCTTTGCAGGTCAACCGGTTGCCGACGTCGTACATGCCCACACATGCCCACATTTCATGACAAATGTGCGCTTTGTATGGCACGTTTCCTTTTCGGCGTGTAGCAATCTACCCATTCGCAGCTTGTCAGCAAAAGCCACAAGTCACACAATGCGCCGTACTTCCGATGCGTCGTCGGCGCCGCTTGCGCGCAAATACGCCAATGTCTCATAGTATGTCAGATGAAATCTAAAAGCGGAATCTTCTGTCAACGCCTTGGTTGTGCAGCCGTACAAAGCACGTGTGGGTGACGTCTGATGCGGAGGTGTCTAATACAGGAACGCACACAGCGCAACAGCATTCTTCCTTGATGTTTTGTGGGAAGGATGGCGATCATCGGAGTTCCCCCAAAGTTGGATAGGGACTCAAGAGCTTACATCCATTGGTTTGATGCATTATTATAGTAGTGTCAATAAGCGCCAAGTTGGTGTGAGGCCTTGATTGTACCCGAATTTGGGCACAGGTGAAAACACAGACCAATTGATGTCCACGAAAAATCAAAGTAATCGAGGAGTCGGCCATATATACAGCTATTTCACTGCCACATTCCAGCTAAGGTTTTCAGTCGCACCGCAAAGAGGATGTCATGGTGATACATGACATGGCTCCATACCGTGCAGCATGCGAGAGATGGGGAATCCCCAAGCAAAACTCCACATCGGATGTGCAAATGTATCAAAGACACTTCTTTGTTTTCCATACGTCGTATCAGGATTCGCAGGGAGCATTTTCGTGCTAAGTCGTCCCATTTCTTATGTTCTTTTCTCTACAGGGCAAATCTGGAACTTTGAAAAGGCATTGCATGAGCGCGTCTGTGCCCGCCATCGCCAAAAAGGCGCCATAGCTACAGTATGCCATGAGCATTCGCCAGTGGAAGCCAGGATTCTACCCACGGCACAAATCTCCAAGTACAACAGAAATCGCGGCATGTTCTGAACGTCAACTGCAGGCGACAATGCCACTATTTGTTATGCAGACGGAATGGTCAAAGAAGTCAAGGTATATGTCAAATGGAAGCAAGGAATGAGCATTAATATCAATTGCCAAAACGATATGTGGATAAATTTCTGGGGAATGATGGGTGATTGGAAGATATGAGTGCGGAAAGATTGTTACCATACAGGTGAGAACATGACCCGAAATGATCCCCAATCTCCGTTTCCCTCCCACACGCGCTCCAGAGACCTCACGAACATTATCTGAAAACAGATTAAAAAATTCATTTAGCTGGCCCGTATTCACCAGCAGCCAGACTTGCTTGGGTAATGTGGCCAGCTGTGGCAATTTCGAACAACAAAGAGAACATTGAGCGTAATTTTCACTGTTGAGATTGGAACAAAGGCCTGACCATCATGCGCTGAAAAAGCACAGTTTCATTTCCGATTTAGTCAACGTAGCCCTTTTAGGAATTTACATTCTTTGTGAATTTATTTAAAATTTCTGAAAATCCATCAGCGCCAACAGTGAGCGCGTTACAAGACATGTTATTATTTCATATCATATAGTGTGATGCAACATCTCGTAATAAAAATGGACACAACTGCGCAAATAACAGCAAGGCTGATTCTCAAGGTGTTTCTCAAGGACTGCCTTTCCCATTTGCATCCTCAACATTCCGTCATCTTCCCAGTGCTATGCAAGAAGGGCGCTGCCCGTAGCAACTGTCTTGCCTTTGTGACCAACACGCAAATGCCGTCGATGATAGTGCTGGTAGAGTCAATGACGAAGGACCTCTCTCTGGTTGACTTCAGCAGCCTGTATTGCATCTGCAATCCGGCCGTGGCACCCTCTGGCGGCGGGGCACCGAGCTGCTTCGTCAGAAAATAATCCTGCAATACAAAAGCAGCAGCAATGGGCAATGACGATGAATGGAGAAATATTGAAATTAGGCTAAATAGAAACAACGGCAATGGGCATGTTGGCAGCGATTTCGCCAGAAGTTCCATCGCCAGATGCCGCTTCGAAGCGGTGAATTCACGCGGCGTTGAGTGTTGTTATTTTTGCCATTGCCAGTAAGAGCGAATGCAGGCCTGAACTTTGCGTTCGCAATTGTTCACGCGTGGCAGTCTTCCACATTGCGCCACTGGTGGACGTGCCCGGTAGGGTGGTTCTGTGACTCGATACGGCAGCCCTCAATTGCTCGGGCAACCGGGGCTCTAGGGCGCCGTGCGTTTGTTCCAAGCTGCAAAGATTTTAAATTTTGTGCTATTTGAAACGGTGTTCTGGGTATTGCTGCCCGGCAGCAATACAAAGGATGTCCCATCCTCTGCCGAAAGTGCGGCAAAGACGCATGTTCACTCGGGCCACTCGTGGTGGGCCCGCGCCATTGTGCATCGGTTTTCCCAACCAACCTTCGCTGGCATAAAAATTCGCTATTATACAATTTTCACATGACGTATGTCCTGCTGAAATGCAAAACTCGTGTGCCGCCATCTTTGACAGTTCTGAAGCCGCATTCATCGCGCCATGGCGCGGCTGTCGAGGGAGCATCCCAGCAGCGCATTTTTGCTGCCATTTTCACCAGTCTCTGTGGCCTGACGCACTCCATAAGCGCCAAAGCGCTCGGCCTGCGATTCACGGCTGTCACAGCTGCCAGTCAATGTACGGATAGACTAACTGGACGAGCGTTGTCACTCAAGGTTCCAAAGCCCATAACCGACGTTGGGATGCAGAAATGATAGAGCCTCATGATCCGGGTCATCGTAAGTCCATTCTTCGTGCATGTGTCCGTGTTGGGAATTGTCCGAACACACCCCTGCGCCGCGGTCGCGATCTGTAAAAGGAGTTGCATTACTCAACGCTCCAACGGACCACCAGGCTACTGTCTGGAATTAAAGGAATTCCATTTCAGATGTCCAACTCGAAATTTTGAAATTTTGGTTGCAGCTATCGCGCTTGCGCACAGTGCTTCGCCCTTTCTGCCCAGCTGTAGGTATCTCCGGGTGACTGACAGGCGAGGTGAATTTCGGAACACATGCATGGGAGATGGGAGGCGCACCTTGTGCACAAGCTGGAAGATGTACAAGGGTGTGTGCAGGGCGTGGTAGAGCCAGGTAGGCGCAAACACGCCCCACCAGGATGCGTGCGTGAGGCCCTCCAGCTGCAGAGACAATGAGATTCGGCTGTCAAAAACATTTGCTTATGGGCTCAAGTGAATGCTCGTATCGATCCTTGCGAAATGGGCCGCAAAATCTCGGTGGCGCTGGAACCCTCATCCGCTTTGTTGGCTTTTGAGCCGTGACTTCCGACATGCAGGCTCTGATGAACGGCGGCGGAGCATGGCCTTTTCGAAGAGCCTCCCACTTAAGCAATGACTTGACACAAACAGACAACAGTGCAGGTATCACATTGGACTGGGAAAAACTATCCACTTGATGAGTACAATATCACACCATCGGGCAGAACACAATTGCAGTACTGCCTTTATCACCGGGACAATGGATCAGCAAGACATCAGCCCGAAGTGCATTCATAACACCCACTTTCACATTGGTTGGGAAACACTCCCTCAGTGTGCGAGGTTTACTCGCCGCGCGATTAAGGATACCCACAACAGAGAGCAATCACTAAACGCAACAACTCGTGGCGCCACGCGTGCCTGAAGCGTGCGCTCAAGACGACCCCGTTACCCACGCCTCGTGCCCCATGTCGAGAGAACATATCCCTCCGCCTATCCACCGAATCCCTTCTTTTCAGTGATCTTGCCCCTGGCGTTCGTGGTGCACAAACTACTTAAACAACAGAAGCCACGACTGGCCCCCCCAATTGTTGAGTGCGGGTGGCAAAGAGGCTGACTGAACCGGGGATCGGACCGGGTGCCTCTGATGCGATGTCCCGCTCCTCCATCAAACCGCCTGGCCAGAGCCAAAGATTCTTTGCAGGGCAGTCCCCTCCGTTAAGCGCCATTCCGTCCCAAACACCAGCTTCGGGCGCCCATTGCGGGCGTGGACCCTCGACTTAGACGATGGCCCGCACCAACTTCCAGGCCCCTTCCTCAGCCCGCAGACCATTGGCGCACAAACAAACGCGGCCAAACGGCAAAACCCATCCTAAGGGTCTCCAACGAGTCACCCCTCGACGCACGTCCGCGCAGCGACGAGCCGGAAGCAAACCGACGGCGGGCGGCGCTTCCTGCTTCGATCCTCGTTCAGTCCCGACGTCCCTGACGTCGATGTCAAATCCCCCCGGCACACCGGTGAGGCCCAGTCGCCACGCCGTCGGTCAATCGATCCCCTCGCCGGCGCCCCCTCGCCCGCGACCGGTCAGCGCCACACCGCGGCGTCAACCCCTGTCCCACGCGTCCCTACCACAGACACGCAGAAACAAAAACCCAAACAAACGAGGACAAGCACGGAAAAAACACAGACAAACACGCCCGAGCGCAGACAAGCACACAGGCACGGACACCAAAACACGAAAAACCCCACACGCCCCCACCCTTCCGCCCCCCACCTTGCTCAAGATCGTCGCACCGAGCACACAGTTCGATAGCCAGCTGATGGTGCAGTGCGCGCAGACGACGCTGCTGTCCACGCGCACGCGCGTCGGCATCACCACCACGGACATCTCCTCGGGCTGGTTCGCTGCAGGTGCGTTGCGGTTGGCCCCGCCGCTGGCCTGGCCATCGGCCTGCTGCCCGCCGCCGGGCGCCGGCGTGGGCGGGGGGTCGTCCTGGGGCGGCCCGCCGGGCTCCGGCGGTGGGGCGGCGCCAGGGATGAGGGGGGCAGTCTGGGTGGAGACGTCCATCGGGCCACGAGGCCCCCGGCGGCGGGGTCGGACGTGGGGGAACGGCGCTGACCGGGGCTTTTGTGGGGCATGCGCGGCGCGACGGGAATGGAGGGGAGAAGAAAAAATAAACGGACCGGACATGTAAGCGACAGAATTCCTGCTGTCCCTGTGCTCGGGAGTAAACCGTTGCCGTGTGCTGGAGCCCACAGGCCCCAGTCAGAGGTCGCTATCCTCGACCCTGCATGCCTTCGTCAGTGACGGTGATGATTGCGGTCGTCGCCCCGATCATCTGGGAAAACGGTAGGCGTCGATGCAATGTTGTGTGTGTGGTATCGTTGCCTCAACGACGAACAACGGTGCGGCAAGGCCAGTGTACCAGCACTGATGCGACGCTCGCGCACATATCAACACTTGTCAGTATTGACATGAGGGCTTTTGCTGAAGCATTTCTCGGCAATGTGCCGCTGCAGTATTGTATCAACGTCTACCGATTTTCCAGATGTTTGTTTGTTTTCTTAAATGAGCGATGATGGTGATTATTACTATTATTATTGTGATCGAACGATTCGATCCATGGCCCTGATGCAGACCGACGATCTAGAAAATAGGTAGCCTAGCGCTTCCTGATGTGCCCGAGCAAAACTACGTACATTATTTTGTAGGCCACTGAAATCGAATGTACTTCAGGGGACTACAAAAACAAGATTTACAGAATCGCAACAATTCGGTGGTTGGTTGGTGATAATATCTTGGGTGATAATGTAAAAATTTCGTGGGCATTGCTTGCTTTGATGAAGTAGGGAGCTCATGGCTACCTTCCTCGTCCTGATGGGCAAGATTTCTTGGTGACGATGTTGCTTGTGATCGAATAGAAATGACTGACTCCTTGCTGTTTCGTGACATCATCGGGGGGAAGGCATTGAGGAACGACCCTGCGTTTGCGGGACGGGCCCCCCACAAAACCCCTTGCTTTGCTGTGATCCGTTGCCGCACACTGCCGTCAACTGACACCATCAGGGGTTGCCGGCTCCCGAACCTGCCTGGCTTTCATCAGCACTCGAGTAGGAACGATTCGAGCCGAGATGCAACGATTGGGATAAAATCAAATAGGGTAATCATCGCCGTGAAGTTTTACATGCCTTGATCGAGGCAATTCGAGGCGGCTGCCGCCTTGGCTTGAATTTGAATGCTTGCTGATGGCTGTTTACTGGCTGTTGTTGCCGAACGGGTGGAACGTGTCCGCAAGCTGCGAGAAATGTACTTATTGGATAAGATTACGCACGAGTTCGTGCAAGGACGCTGAATGGATCCATCGAGAACTGTCGCAGGTTCAGGCAAGGTGGCGGCCGTCATGACCGCCGCCAGAAGTAGGAGCTGATCAGCTTCCCACTTCCGTCGAGAACAACGACGCCCTAAGCTAGTTCAACGACAAGCAGGGCTGTCGGTGCGATCCAACCAAACACAGTGACTGGGCCGCAACAACATTAGAGGTCACGGACCCGTAACATCCATTAAAAAGACTGTTGTATCAGATTGTCTGCAAATGCTGCGCCGCAAATCCCGTACACTGTCATGAATCCCACCAGAATCAAGGTGCTCTGACCCGCTCTCTGAGAACACTATCAGGACAGTCCATGCTTTCGTTCATTCGTCCCAGAGATGATGTCAGAATAGTTTGCTAGCTCTCTGGGGTAATTCAACAGCGCTCCAGCTGGAGCACGGCTGCATCCGCTGATCAGCAAAGACTGATGTTCAGAATTCAAAGGGTCAGGGGCAGGCAATTTTATATGCAGCATGCGTTCAAGCGAAGGAAAAGGACACCTAACGCAGCGTAATCTCCTGTTACCATGATGAGAAAACAAAATATGCGCAAAGAGGCATTGAGCCACTCATGCCTGAGGTAGGCTTCCTGAGAACCTTGAGAAGAATCACCCAGCTGCAATTTGAGTTTGGGCACCCCGAATGCCAGCGGAAGCAGACGCCCCTGGATTTGCTACAAGGCAAATGTGAATCGACTTATTTCCTTCCTCGACTTGCTTCTTGGTCAGACCATATTGGGAGATATCTGCATATTTTTATTGTGCGATGGATTCGTTCCAACACCTGACTCTGGTTCTGAAACGAGCTCACCGCACAAAAATATACAGACAACCCCTCCCCACGTCGATGTGCTCATGCTGGTCGCGTGGATTTGCAGTCCTAGTTTGTCTTTTGCTATTGCAGAGCTTCAAGTCTGAAATCATGGTAACAATTTGTGAAATGATAATGGAAGCTTAGAAAACTTAGGTGGGTTGATCCGTGAATCGGTTCCCCCATTCTCCACACAGACTGAATGGAGTTCTGCAGAATCCTCTGGGAAAATTGCACCATCGATGGCACCAGCGACATCGCAGTCATCATAGTCACCTTGATGCCATTCCAGCCACTGCGATGGTATCACTCAATGTAGAAATGGCATCACAGCTGGTATGGCCAAAATTTTGCTTCCTTCTGATGCCAAACTCACCATTGGTCGTGTCAATACTATATATAGCAACATACAACTGATATGCTGTACATATTACACCATTCTGCATTCTGAAAATTCAGCACTATGTATTCTGCTCAGCAGTTTCCAGAAAAAGCCTAACTTTTCCACATTGGCCTGCATTCTGTTCAGTGTTGTCATGTTTAGCAGGGCCACCTGCTGGTCATATTTTTCTGCGAGAGAGGACTCTGCAGCACTGCATGTTGCTTGCCCCAATGACCTGATAGAGAGAGGGGGGCTTTACGGGGGCACTAGGGGCCACAGTGTGTGTAGGCTGATGTGCAGCTGCAAATGTACCTGAAGGAAGTGGATGGCCACCCACATGCAGGGCCAAGCTGCGACTCCAGGCCAGTACGCATTGGCGTACGTCCACAAGCAGTTTCTAAACCAGATGATGTTCCTCGATGCCAGAGCACAGCGTCCGGCTTCAAAACAACATGACCAGAAATGCAACCACTTCCAGTTTCCAGAAGTAGATTTACTGCTTCTTCCAAAGTAATGGATGGCCCCCCAAAAAACACTGCTTGCAACAAATTCGAAATCGGCACTCTCTGGGCTCTAGCCACACAGCCTTCAGCTTTGCTTCTGTCTCTTACGTTGGAAATAAGGGCTGGAATGATGAAGCAATGGATTTTTCTGAGCAAAAGCGTTGCTTCTAGGTGATTAGAGTGGCTGCGGGGATGTCTGTTAGGACTGGATGCTCATTTGCAGTGTTGAATGAATGGCAAGCGGTTGTGAATAGAGTCACCGGATCGTAGCGATTTGAGCCCAGAACTCTAAACAAGACCTCTTCCAGTAGCAACCTGCCTTGGGGTTGAGGTTCCAGTTTCCTTATCATAAATCACCAAGACCAGCAATTTTGCACCAGCCCGGAACCTCCCAGTTAGTGCCAATGTGACGTTGAGCGCAACCAATCTCCCTGGCGTCACCTCTAGCCGATATAACAGCTGCCCAAAGCCCGCAAACAACCTTGTTTCGCAGCATCCCATCCCTTAGCGACCCCCTCAGCGGCTGACTTCGGTTTGGGCTTTGCGCAAAGTTTCCAGTGCCAGGATCTCGGTGCCCCTTTTTGTGTCGTGAGCAAAGGGACAAGCCCATTCCGACGGCCACGTCATCCGCGACACGGGGCATACGCAAGAGAACTCTTTACCCAATCGGCCGGTGCGCGAGTCGGGCGAGGAGAATTTCCACCTCCAAGCGCAATTCCCGTAGCCCGCAAAACACCGACCCAATCCGCCAGCATCCACGACCGTGAACGGGCCAAAAAGCTCCAGCCGCTCGGCCCCTCCCTTCCCCTTCCCTGCCCCCGTCACCCAGCCCTCCCGCCCCCCTTCCCCCTCCCCCCTTGCGTTGCGTGCTCATCAGTTCGCATCGGAGACTCTGCATCACCTTTTCGCGGCATGGGAAAGAGTCTCGCGTACAGCTGCTCGGGAGGGGGAGGCCTTTGTGCCACCCGTTTCTCCCCCTCTTTGTAACAAGTCTCCGCCCTCCGCCTCACTGCCGTCCGGCGCCCGGCCGCCCTCCCACGCCTCCTGCGCGCCATCCTGCCCCCCCTGACGCCCAGGCCCAGCACCGCCCGCCGCGCCCTGCTCCTCGCCAGCTCCTGATCCAGCCGCCTCATCGCCCCATCCTGCGCCACGAGCGTCCTCGAAATCTCCGCTAGCCTGTGCCACAGGCCCGGCGGGCCCCAATCGACCACATCCCCCACCGCTTCGATCAATCCGCCGGCCGCGATGAAGTCCACCAGGCACTTGTCCCGGACACACATTTCGCCCGCGCACGCACAAGAGCCGTGGGATCGCATCTTTTGGGTCAGGCTAGCGCCAGTGAAGTCCACGACGCGGCGCCCAACGGAGGTGAGCCGCGCAGCGCCGAACTTGTCCGACCGGCGCTGCCGGTCCCGCGGCGCGATCAGGCGCAGGAGGAGGTCCAGTACCACGGCCTGAGGCAGCATCCTGTCGTCCTGCCAAAGGGCCGGAGGGGCCTGAGTCGATTCCCGATCCGACGACGCCTGGTTGCCTGCGGCTGATTGGAACCACCTTGGAAGATGAGGGGAGCAGGGCTGCGTGCCGTCCGCTGTAGATGTGGTAGGCGTGGCTGTCAACTGGGCTTCATTCCCGGTAGAGAGCCGCATAGGGGGGCCAGAATGGAGGGCTGGTCCGTTGAGCAGGCCGGGCAGCTGCGGTTTGAAGCCGCCTGGGCAAGGCAAGGTGCCTGGGAGCGATGGTGGGGGGGCAACTGTGGACACGAGGCTGAGCAGGCTCACCAGCGGGCAGTCCGGCCCGTTGCCGGAGTCCGGCAGGCCTGGGCTGGGGGGGTCGCGCCCGTCCCGGAGGGGAAACATGGGAGGCCGCCCGGGCTGTGCGCATGCGGCGCGAGATGTCGCGCAGAGCCCAGCAAGTTGCGAACAGCGGCAACCCTTTTCGATAGTGGCCGAAAAGGTCCAATCATCCTGCGGAAGTATGCGCAGCGAGGCTGTCCTAGAGGTGGC